ATCCCCTTTTTCAGGAACCCTAAAACCCTAATGTAGAGAACCACTTCTAAGCCCTAAACCCGAAGTAAGCCCTAAGCGCGAAACCCTAAACCCTCAGCCCTAAACCCGAAACCCTAAACCCGAAACCCAAAAACCCTAAACCCTCAACCAAAACCCAAAACCCTAAACCCTCAACCAAAAACCCTCAACCAAAACCCTAAACCCTAAACCCTCAACCAAAGCCCTAAACCCTCAACCCAAAAACCCTAAACCCTCAACCAAAACCCAAAACCCTAAACCCTCAACCAAAAACCCTCAACCAAAACCCTAAACCCTTAACCCTCAACCAAAACCCTAAACCCTAAACCCTCAACCAAAGCCCTAAACCCTAAACCCTCAACCCAAAAGCCTAAACGCCCGAAACCCAAAAGGCTGGCGGCGGTGGAAGTGTCGACCCTGATGATGCTGGAGGTATTCTACGGCTGGGCGTCTCGGGCAGCATGGTGTTACAATCGTATGGGTTTAGGGGGTTTAGGATTTAGGGTTTAGGGTTTAGGGTTCAAGATTTAGGGTTTAGGGTTTAGGGTTTGCAGCATGGTGCCACAATCGTATGGGTAGGGGGGCTATACTTAAAGGATCATGGGACTTAGTAAGTAAGGTTATAAGACCCTTAATCGGGGTTATAAGTATAGTTACCTTAGTTATAACCTTACTTACCAAGTCCCGTGACCCTTTAAGTCATTCCCTAAACCCTAAACCCTAAAACCCTAAACCCTAAACCCTACTTACTAGGTCCCATGATCCTTTAAGTATGACTCTGAGGACTGCAGCCAAACCGCTGACCGGCCCTCTTGGCTGGAGGTTTTTCTCTGCTGAGTCAAGGCTAACCTGGGTCATCCACCACGAATGTAGGGGCCGTAAATAATTTGAATAGGGTTTTGGGGGCTCCTTATTATAACTACAGTATAATATACCCCAAACCCTATTCGAATTATTAAGGCCCCTATATTAAACAGGTGGCTGAATGACGAGGAGCTCCTCACACGGATCCTCACAAAGGCAGTCCTGGCCGGAACGCTGGAAGCATTGCTGCAGTCTTCTGTGACCCTGTCATTTCTTCTCGCTACATCCCTCCGATGCTACTCTTCGTGATATTGCTCGACTCTGGCTGCAGCCAGTATTACCCTTACCCCGACCAGCCATGCAGAGGGCCTTGGAGCACGTGAAGATAACCACACTGCCCCACTCCATTCCGAGAGCGTTCAACTTCGCCGAGGGAACCTTAGTGAGGGCCAGAAAGGCTTCAGCGAAGCCGGGATGAATGTGCAACCTCGTGCACAGCCGATGTAAAGAAGGCGCCATCTCTATCTGCCCCTGTTCTTTCCCTCATCATCTATGTATACAAAACCGTATGTACAAAGAACTATAACACGCATAATGCAACGTTCCATGCACGAGTACATGTGAACATACTATACGTATGACAATGTATATGTGTATACAAATAGATAAATAGATAAATCTGTGTACATATATATATATATACATATATATATTATTTATTTATTTAGCTTATTTATTTATATTGTTTTGTTCATATGTGTGTGTGTGTGTCACAATGTACGCATGTATATATATATATATAGGTACACACATACGCAAACATTATTTGTTGTTGTTGTCAGACAGCTAGACAGCCGGATAAATGGACAAGTATTCGAAAAGGTTAACACACCATGTGCCACGTAATCCTAAGATCACCTACCTATAGCTACCAAACAAGTACTAAGTAACCCTTGCCCCTGAACTCTATGGCCCTGAAGTCCTACACCGTATATCCTGAAACCTACAGCCCTACATCCTCAGCCCCATATCCCTAAAGCCCTATGCCCGCAACCCTAAACTAATGCATCAGGTGGCCGCTTGGGAAAGCTGCGCGTGGAGCGTGGGCCTCCAGGCTGAGAGGTGCGTAATGTAAGGGCCGAAAAAATGACCAATACGATTTTGGGGGTTTCCTTATAATTCATATAATTATAGTATAAGGGGCCCCAGAACCCTATTCTAATTATTAAGGCCCCTATATTAGACGTACTTAGAGGAACAAGCCTCTCTCTTCCGCAAGTGGTCCCAGCCTACATACAGACATACACACATACCTACATGCATACATGCGTACATCATAGTTACATGTGCCTACAGGATATGAGTACATCTGTAGTCTTTGTGAGTACGAGCTTCTGCCTCCGTCTCACTAGTAAACTCACATACATATGTGGTACGTATATACATATATACATACGCGTTATGCATTATAGTCTAGTAGCTGGGGACATATGTAAGTATTCGTCTATATATGAATATGCGTGTGCATGTACCTACACTCATACATACATACATACATACATACATACATACATACATACATACATACATACATAAGCAATCGACTGCAACAAACTTGGGCCCCAAAGCTACAGCGTCGGAAGTTCGTGGATACTACGGAAACTGGCCATACAAGCTACTTGGACATTTGGGGATCCGAAGAATTCTGAGGCAAGCGCAGCAACTGCAGCTCGAAACAGCGACTGGCACCTCAATGACAAGGCCAACCAACCATGAGCAACTTGGTTTCTCCATGGTCCATGGACGATGCAAGGCCTTGCAGCTGCACCTGGCACTTGGTCCAAATATGTCCAAATGCCATCCAAGTCGCCGCAAACACATTTAGGAAGCTTCGAGGTTGGCGGTGCCTTGCGAAAGCGGTCAAAAAGCGGCTGTTGCTGATGATGGTGATGACGAGGCCAAGAACGGCCTTGAGGGTGAAAGCGGCGCTGTCGTTCTTGTTGCAGGTGATGATGCAGATGTGTTTGCTGAAGGGCTGATGATGACTAGAATGCTGCTTTGCACTTCAAAACATGACCGGGTAGAATCAATTACGACTACGATGATGATAGTGCTGGCTATTCCCACGAACGACTATCGCTACGGAAACAGCAAGCATGAATCTAGTTATGATACCTGTGGCGAAGGCAATCACGATATGATATGTATGGTTACAAAGCACTAACTGAGACAAGTCTGCTGGTGGTAGTGGTCGCAGTGGTATCAGATTTCCTCGTTCCCGCTGTGGAGGTGGTGGCAATGGCAGCAGTGGTAGCAGCACTAGTGATAGTTGGTAGCGGTCGTCGTCGTTGCCGTTGTCGTCGTCATGGCGTCTGCGCAGCAGGTAGCAAGAAGTATACCCTCGGGGTATTGAGCTATATAGCTGCTGATCTCTGCAATGGTCGGAGTAAGAACTTCGGAGACATCTTTCTGGCTCATTGCGGCGAGTGTCGCGCAGCGTCGTCTCAAACCGCAAGGGGGGGCAGTTAAAGCGCTGCCTGCAATCACAACAGGTCTAATGCCAGGGCCTGTATAATCAGCAAGGGTTTTAGCTATGCGATACTGATTGCATGACTGAAATTCAAGGGAACAATTTTAGGGGGATTGTTCCGACCCGATACTATAATGTCCACGAGGATGCTCTACGGCCCCCACCCTCCTTGCTCAGGGGCCCCTTGCCCTGCGTACACCCTAGGCCCTAATACCTGAGGTCCGAACATGCAGCCACAAAGGCTCGCCGCCCCAGCAGTACCTAATGACCTGGTTCGGGATAAGTAAGGGCTCAGGGTTCAAGACGCAAAACTTATCATGACCTTCACAATCCGTACTAACTGTCTCTCTGCAGTGTTGGATGCTGCCACCTGCAGTTCGAAAACCCTCGTGTGCATGTAATGTAATGTAATGTAATGTAATGTAAATGTAAATGTAAATGTAAATGTAAATGTAAATGTAAATGTAAATGTAAATGTAAATGTAAATGTAAATGTAAATGTACATGTACATGTACATGTACATGTACATGTAATGTAATGTAATGTAATGTAATGTAATGTAATGTAATGTAATGTAATGTAATGTAATTATGTATGTATGCATGTAACATGTATGTATGTATTCTGTATGTATGTACGTATGTATGTATGCACATGTGTGTATATGTATACTCTGCTAGTATCACTCAATGAGAACCTACATGCGAAGTACGTGAACCGGCAAAAGCCTAAACGACAGAGGTTTTGCCTAAACCCTAAACCCTGAACCCTAAACCCCAAACCCCAAACCCCAAACCCAGAACCCTAAGCCCTGAACCCTAAACCCTGAACCGTAAACCCTAAACCCTGAACCCTGAACCCTAAACTCTAAACCCTCAACCCTACACGACTGAAGTTTTGTTCACCGGACGTTTACGTGAGAAGCCAGTTGCCTGCTCCGGGCTCCGCGACAAACGCTGCTGGAACCTCCGATTTTGGATTTTTAGGGTTCAGGTTTGAGGGTTTACGGTATAGGGTTGAGGGTTTAGGGTTTAGTGCATTAGGCTTTGGAGGGACGAAAAACAACCAAAAGCTTTCGGGGGTCCCGGTAAGGTTGAAGGTCCCAGGTCGGGCCAAGACCTAAACCGTAAACCCTAAACCCTGAACCCTACTTGGAGGTTCATGGGTAGTTAATTGTGGGGTTATAAGTAGGGTCACCATAATTATAACCCATGTTTAAGGGACTTAGAACCCTACTTATAACTACCCATGAACCTCCAAGTAGACCCCTAAACCCTAAACCCTAAACCCTAAACCCTTTCGGTAGGCTGGGCTCTCCAGCACTCGAAAGGCGCCCAGGCTCTAGCGACTAAGAACGGCGGCTCAGCTTCCGAAGTGTTCACCAAGTAATGTCAGTACTACTAAAGGGTTTAGGGTTTAGGGTTTTAGGGTTTAGGGGTTTAGGGTTTATCATTCTTCGCACTATGAGTGTGCTTGCCACATGACTCTTATGATTACGATGACCATTCTTCTATTTCTTTCATTTCTTGTTCAAAGTACTAACATAGCCCTAAACCCTAAACCCTAAACCCCCTAAACCCTAAACCCCCTAAACCCTAAACCCTAAACCATAAATGTAACATAGTAATATTACGACTATCTGCGAGTGAAATCAGGAGCGGGACAGGGACTCTGGAGCTCCCATTCGACGTAATGTAAGGGCCTTAATAATTAGAATAGGCCCTAACCCCCCAGGTACCTACTATATAGGGCCTTAGGGGCTCTAGTACCCTATATAGTAGGTACCTGGGGGGTTAGGGAGGGTTTGGGGGTATATTATACTTTAATGAGAATATGGAACCGGCAAAATAATCTAGGTAAGTATTAAGGCCTCTATAGTAATCCCTCTGGGATTGCGATGTAACACCTCGAAGCCTGAACGATCAGTGATTGTGTTCTTGAGGGTACCTGAATATGATTAGAGTACTCCCTCCAAGAGCCCTAGTCTAACTCTCGAGGTAGCTGCAAGATGCAAGAAAGCTCTGCATTTTTGTGCGCTGTGTGAGCAGGGTTGCTCAACAAACCCGGCACAGTGGAAGGACAGAGAGAGGAGCACCCTGGTCCCGAAATGTA